ATGTGGCTAATATATATTCTTCAAATATATATATGGTATAGACTATTCCAAAAGAGAAGCTTATCATACAGTAAAGTTAACTAATAATTAAATAAAAGGAGACAGCTAAGAGGTCACCTTAACATTGAAAAAAAAAATAAATAAATAAAAACAAAAAAAATTAAATATCTTATCTGAAAATACTATTTATATATTTTTCTAGTACTAATTTATATTCAGTAAAGCTTAAAAACTTTTAAAAAATAAAAAATAAAGTTAGTAACAAGGCTAATAAGACAAAAGAAAATAATAATAAAATTAGATACTTTATCTAAAAAGCTATATATATATATTTTTCAGTACTAATTCATATTTGACAAAGTCTAAAAACTCAAAAATAGAAACAAAGTTAACAACAAAACTAACAAAATTAACAAAAAAAGAAAAAAATTTAAATATACTTGAAAATGTTGTATATATATTTTCTGGTACTAATTTATGTTTGGCAAGCTAAAAACTTAAAAAAGAAAAATAAAGTTAATAATTAGACTAACAAGGCTAACAAAACAAAAAAAATAAATAAATATTTTATCTAAAAATACTACATATATTTTTTGGTGCTAATTTAAACCAGCAAAGTTTAAAAACTGAAAAAAGAGAACAAAGTTAATAACAAGGCTAGCAAAACTAATAAGACAAAAAAAAACAAAAATAAAAAAATTAAATACTTTATCTTAAAATGCTATATGCATATTTTTCTGGTATTGATTCATAATTAACAAAGCCTAACAAGACAAAAAAAAGACAAAAAATAAAAAAAATTAAATATTTTATCTGAAAATATTGTATACACATTTGCTTAGTACAAATTCATATTTGGCAAAACCTAAAAACTCAAAAAAGAGAAATAATATTAGTAACAAAGCTAACAAGACTAACAAAACAAAAAAAAAATTAAATATTTTATTCAAAAATGCTATACATTTATTTTTTTGGTATTAATTCATAGCTAGTAAAGTCTAAGAATTTAAAAAAAGAAAAACAAAGTTAGTAACAAGGCTAACAAGATAAAAAAAAACAAAAAAAACAAAAAAAATTAAATAATCATTAATTTTGTATAACAAATAATTTATCAAAACAAAAATTAAAATTTTTTAATATTAAAATAAAGACAATATTTAGAGGTTAGATATAGTAAAATTTGCAAGAAATTTTTTTTGTTAGAGCTCTAAAAGTGGTTTTATAATCAAAATTTTGAGATATGATAGGTTTTTTAAAAAATTTTTTGTTTTTGTTATACAAAATTGATATGTATAATTAATTTTGTTATACAAAATTAATCTATATATTATACTTGATCTTGCAATTTTATTGGTTAATCTAAGAGGTACTCAAAGTGCAAAGTATACTTTTTAGTCTTGTTTAATAAAAAAAATAAAAAAATAAAAAATAAAAATAAATAAAAATAAAAATAAAAAAATAAAAATAAAAAAAATAAAAATAAAAAAAATTTAATTAAATTTAATTAGATAAATATCAAGTAATCTTTGTTTAAAATTTAGATATTAATAAAAAAAAACTACAGCAAATTTTTTTGATAACTAGCTATTCAAATTCAATCAAAATTTTTTGTTTTAATTTTATGATTTCAGAAAATTAAAATAAAAAAATTTTTATCAAATTTAATTAATTAGTTATTTAGAAAATTTTATTTAAAGTTTAAAATAAATTTATATAATTTTTTTAAATATTTGAAATTTTTTTTAAACCTTTAGTAATGATTTTTCAACAACTAATAAACTTTTTTTTATTTTAATTCTACAAAGCTATAGAATTAAAATAAAAAAACTTTTACCAAAGTTAATCAAGTAGTTAGAGCAGTATTATTTATCACCTGATTATTTTTTATCAAAAACTCACCCTTCCCCCTCTTAATATAAAAAAATCAGATTTTTATATATAATTTTAACTTTTTTTACCCTCTCCTCTAAAAAATCATCTGATTTTTGTCATATTCCTTATTAAAAAATCATCATTAGAAATTTTAAAAACTCAAGAATTTATTAAATTTTGTTTGATAATAATCTAGAGATAGTTTGTATAATAGATTTTAAATCTGATTGGTCAATTATTAAAATATATAGTTGCATATTACTTGGCAGATATGAAAATAAATTGGCAAAAATGTGGTATATAAATTCTGAAACTATACTCTATAACATATCAAAATAACCTGAGAAAGGTTAAATAATTCAGAAATTGGTATTTTTTGCCTTATAGATCAAGGTAATTTAGTAATCAGCAAGATGAATTGCATCTTAGTTATTAAGTTCTAAGGTTTTTTTAACTTAAAAAATAGTGATTCAGACAATAATACTGTACTTACAACTAGTTTTTTTTATTTATTTTTTTTAATATAGAGCTATTCGACCAAGTTTTATAGTATATTAAACATAGAATATGCATAGAACATGTACAATTACCAATTACATGCTTTGTTCTGTAGTTAGTTGTAGTCAGTGTTTGGTTTTTTATACTGTCTATCTCCATGAGCATGTATTATACTATTGATATTTAATAATTCTTTTCAATTAATTTATATTATTTATTATTCATCTTGTTTTGTTATTAAACTATATACTAGTTAGTAGGTGATTCGATTAATAAAGATTATTTATATTAAGGGATTATTAAGCTTAAAGATGTTACTTTTTAAAAATACGCATTTGACAATGACTATCAGAATCAATGCATTATTCTAAGTTAAAATTTATAATTAAAAGTGTCTTTTTTAATAACTTATACGTAACATTTTTTTACTTCAATCCACCTAGGGGCATTAACAAAAAACGTCAGGAAGGAAAATTTTACTATAAGATCTGCCTCGCCTTAACCCATACTAACCCTTACCCTAACTTTAATTGAAAACTCAAAATCATATAACCGCACACGGCTTTAGACATACCAACCTTGGAAATGATCGTTGATCATGTGATTGCCGACCAATCAAAATTGAATATCAGGTGCCAAAACAAGTGGTTTGTTTTCTAAGTAAAAAAGTTATGCGTAAAATGAAAACCAAGAAAACTGTTATAATTAGAGTTAGAATTAGAACGATATAGCACTTGTTAGTAAAACATCACAAGGAACATTTTTAATTAGGTCGCAAAAGGTGGTTTCCTAAAAAAATGATACGACAGGGTGAAACCCGCATTGCTAGCTACGCGGGGGTGAAATCCGCTTTTATATAATAAAAAACATAAACAACTGATTTCACCCTAACCTGATCTACGTACTACAGTAGTTAGCAACGCGGGTTTCACCCTGTTCTAAAATGATTTTGTTTCAATTTTTATGTTACACCTGATCTTGAGAATCGATTGGTCAAAATTGCAGGGGGTGACCAATTTTTTGTGGGAGAACTAGGGGACAGTATACGCGTTATTTAAGGGGAAACTACGTGTTTAAGGGTTAAGTTTTTTATACCATGATTTCCGAACAGAAATATCCTGGTTACGAAGAAATTACGTCTTATTTGACGCGGCATAAAAAATCTTTTTGGGGCTTTCTACTTTGCCATCGAGATACAATCGTTAATATCACTTCACCTATTTCTCGCAGACAGGATCCCGAAGGCGACTGGGTCCGTAATTTCTTACTAGAAGCAAGAAAACTCGGTAAAGATTTAGAAGAAATGGTGTGTATTTTTTTATTTTGCAAGGTTAGGGTAAACTTCTAGTGCGCTTCGGGACGCTAGGAGTATGACAAGTTGGTAATTTTTTGTCGTTGGTAAA